GACTATCAGACATAGGGTTGCCAACTCTGGTTTGGGAAATTCCAGGAGATTGGGGGGTGGAGCCTGGAGAGGACAGGGTTTGGGGAGGGGAGGGACCTCATTAGGATAGAATGCCATAGAGTCCACTCTTCAAAGCAGCCATTTCCTCCAGGGGATCTGATCTCTGTATTCTGGAGATCAGCTGTAATTCTGGTAGGTTGACAACCTTAGAAGGCAACTAGTAGTTTCCTGCCTGATGTCTCTGTTTATAGTGGAAATGGGTACAAATGGAAACAATGATTGCAAAGTACCATGGTTTATGCAGCCATGTAGCCATCACTGACATAAAGGGTTTTTTAATATATTGTTTCATTTTTGCAGATGAACAAGACCAAGACACTGAGCAAGTACCACAGACCTTAAGCCCTGACCTTGGCTTTAACAAGTCACAGTTGAGTGACTGTCCAAGAGACTCTGGCTGTTACACTTCATCGGAAAATTCAGATACCAGCAAAGATGACCCAGATACAGAGAACCTCTGTGCCCTGGTGCATGCAGTCACCATCACTGAGTCAAACTAAATGGGCTCACATTTCTACAGGAATGATTCACGCTGAGTTTGCAGCTTTGCAAACACCCTGAACTTATCTGTTAGCATGCAAATAATAGAAAGTAAAGTTCATTATCAATCAATTTGGAGACACAATATGCAATTGGATTTTCATCTAATGGCATTTTCTATAAAAAAAATATGTGTCTCTTGAACAATCCTCTATTTTCTTTTGCATTTTTATACATAATCTGTACAGCAAATTCCTTTTTCTATCATGAGAATGGCTAGGTAAATGCTCTATATTTCTGAGACTGCTCATTTCCAAAAACATTTCTAAGTATTGTAAATAGTGTAAATAATTGTTATTTTACAAGGCAAAGAAATTATCTTGTCCTTCTTATCCTCTGATACACTTTGTTTTCACCAAAATGCCACTGCAATTAAAATGCAGCTGGCCAAATATCTGAATACTAAAAATGAAATTTTATACCTAATTTTATCGAATATAATACAAAATTAAATTCAGTAATCATGTTAAGATAATTTATCATGTCATAAAGGAATATTTATATACATAACAGTTAAGATATTTATACCTGTATTCTGAATACTTTATGCACTCGCTCATTTTTACATAAAAGGTTTCCTTATTCCTATTATTCTCTTTGTAAACATTGTGAAAATACAGGTACTAGAATTAAGGATTTTTCTTTTTTCAAAGAATGTGCATTGGCTAAACTCTTTTATAACGTGCTTAGTATATAAATATACAATCAAAAATATCTATTTATTAGCAGTCAGTCAATAACTGCTTAAAATTACCATAGAACATTGTCCGTCACTCAGTTTCATTTGCTTGTACTTTTACAAGTTTTTTCACTTCCTAAAATGTTCCTTTTCAAAATAAACGAAAATTACTTGAATTCATTTAATTTCAAATGTTATTTCCAAGATTGTGTCTCGTACTAAATATATTCAGTGTGTATTTTTGTGTAACATTATTTGTTGTTAGTTGTGAAAAACTGAGCATTATCACAATACACACTATTCACAAAGTAAAGAATTGTGCATAGAAATTAATACGTTTTCCTTTAGAAACATAATATTTTGACCAGAAATGAAATTATGATGCTGAGCTACCAAACTGGTTCAGCAGATATGGAGTTTTCAGCTGGAATCATGTCACAAGTCCACCCCAGTTTCCCAAATTCCAGAACCCATTCTGCTTCAGTTCTACAGATGCCTCAGTTCCACCAGTGAACTTAACAGAATCCATTAAGTGCTGACAGTTCTAAAGGGTGCCCTGACATCACATGCTATGTTTCTTACACTGCAACCGCAATAACTTTTGGAACCATGTGGATTTAAAAAACAACAACAACAACACACACACAGGAATATCAAGTGAGATGGTATCTAGCTAATGAGGCACTGACTTCCAGATGTCTAGTAACTAGATGTTACAAAGACCAAGCTGTGGGAGGAAATATGGATGATTTACAATACTTACAGGTACACATAATTCAAAAACAAAGCACATCTACTAAGGATCGGGTCAGATGTTCTCCATCATTGCAGAATTTATTCTACATATTCTTAGTCAATAACTGATACAATGTGGAGGAAGTCCATGTGCTCTGGAAGAATTCACGTGCAATAATACACACAGAGCAATGTCCTTAATTATAGTTAGATTTTTACAAGATGGTTATCATTGCCACTATGTGTATTAATGTATCCAGGTATTTCTGATTAACATAGGACTTTCCCACATGATTGTAGGTATAAATGAGCCACATTCTATCACTTGGAGGATGAGTGGTAGCAGCACTGATGCACTCCAGACTTCAGGGTACAGAGGACAGTTGCACTGGTTATTAAGTATGTAGTACAGAAAGATCAGCATATGGTTTCAGACCTTCTGCTTACCACACATTACATAAATGGGGATTTATAGTTATAATATATAATATCAACCCATACATCTAAATACAAAGATAGGACCAGAACTAATGCAAAGTGTACAGATTATTAATGATGTCAGTGCTAAGAATGTTGAAGTTTGGTTTGCAGCTGGTTAGAAAGCTGCTAAACGATCACTCAAATTCTTGGGTGTTTCAAAGCACAAGAAGAGAGCTTGATCAGATCATTTGCCATACCTGACAAAGAGAGCTTGATCAGATCATTTGCCATACCTGACAAAGGACAGATGAAGAAAGCAGACCCCACAAGGCAATCTTCAGTTTACTGTTAACTGGGGGTCATTTCCTGCAGGAGCGCACAGGAGCGCAGTTCCGGCAGTAAAGAGCTGAGGGGACGGGCACATGCAACAAGCCCCACCCCCTGCTCCCAGCAGCCCTGGGCCACAACAAGCAAGAAACAGCCAGGTAAGTTGCAGAGCCTCCCCCCTCACAGATAGCAATCCAAAACAAACTCCCTCCTCTGTGAGGGCAGATCTGTGTGGGAACCCCCCCCCCCATAGCTAGCAATCCAAAACAGCCCAGTGGAGCCTGAGCAGTGGGTGTTGCCTTCTGACACACTTCTGGTGATATCAGGGTGTGTGGCATATGCAAATAAATTATGCTAATGAATTATGCTAATAAGCTCCGGCACCTCTTTTTCTACGAAATGACCCCTGCTGTTAACAGATAATTCATGGCTTTCCCACAACTCACATTAGAACTGCAAGAAGGAGGAGCATTCCAATGAAACAACCTTTCTTCAGAAATGAAATCTGCTGTCAAAATAACAGCAAAGAGGTACACTTGAAGACCATGGGATTAAATTGGCTGAAACTCTGTTTTTAAAATGTCCAGCGACTGCGTCCTCTGCTCATTCCTCCATATTGAATCCATGCAGAATTTTAGTCAGGACATTGCATGCAAATATAGGGAATATAGGTGTAGACAGAGAAATGTGTATGCTGTCAGAAAACCACAAAAGAGAAGGCTCCTCTATAATATGTACACATATGTCTAGCTAGAAATCATTAACATTGGGAGGTGAAGCTCAAATGGCTTCCCTACAGTGACAAAAATGCACACGTCCCTATTCACAAGTATACAAGTTTCATAAATAGAGATACAACCAAGTGCATGGCCCTGCCGTTTCCAGTGGTGAACCCTGTTATTCTTAAAGTTGTTTCACCATTCAGTGAGAAGTGATTCAACCTGTGGAAGAGAAAAATAGCATATATATATATATATATGGGCTCTTCCCATCAGTTTTGTGACATTCTCCCTTGTCAAGGCCACATTGGCCTTGTTCCAACACAACCTTCCCTGCAGCAGAGGAACCTCAAGGCCTCAAACTGGTAAGGAAAGGGGGTTATACCACCTGATCCCTCCTTTCTGTGCTCTCACACCTGTCCGGGCAGTGTGGAGCAGCAAAACTGGCAACATAATTCCCCTGATTTTTGCCTGAGAAAGCTGCTGGGGGGGGGAGGCAGGAGCCCTTCCTTCCCTCCTGTCAGCATCATTCCAAGCCCATTTGGGCCCTCCTTTTATTTTTAGAAGCAGTTCCTGTGAGGAAACACAGGAAAAACAGTATAAACAAATGAACAAATGTAACACGTAGTTAACTCTTTGGCAGAATAAAGTCATTGCCTCTATTCAGGTTCAAACCATGTTTTTAAATAATCCACTTTAGGTTATTAATACCAAATTAAAATAGAAATTAGTGAACTTTTTAATGCAAAACTATGGCTTTCCATTTAGGAGCTGGATACACGCTAAATTTCCCAATGGTAGAACTGAAATTTCATGCTCCCCCCCCCCACTACCATAGCTTGCTGATCTCCACAGAATGCCACTCCTGGGAGACGGGGACCCTGTGGAATGACATGAGGGGGGTCTGCAGCAGCAGGAAGGGGGATTTTGTTAAAATTACCAGTTTAGTCTGGATCCAGCCCTAGAATTCTTTAAAAACAGTATGGCAGGGAATTGTCCTGTGTCCCACAGGAATGTCTTCTTCTGACACGTAAAGGAAAAAGAACTGTGACATGTAGACGGTGGTCTCCGGAATGGTGTGCCGTTTCGACAGTGATCTTCTTCTGAACAAGGGTGTGTACAAAAACTGTCTTTCAACAATTCAGCAATTATAGCCCATTGAAGAACATAGCTGTAAGCATAGCCTCATAATGAAGTGAATCAGCAGTATATTTCCAATACGTCACCAAGAGAAATGAATTGTTGAAAGACAGGTTTTGTACACACCCTTGTTCAGAAGAAGATCATTGTCGAAACGGCACACCATTCCAGAGACCACCATCTACATTCACTATATATATTACTTAATTTCTGTTATTGTATATTATGATTTATGAATATATTACTAAGCGCTAAATTGTCACAGCTCTTTTTCCTTTTTTCATTGGTCTTATTACTGTGCCCATTCTTGTAACTATTCTCCTGACACATAGACTGATTCCACAAAAGTAGTTGTTGCGCCCTCGATCTCCCAATTCCCCCGGTTGTACTGCTCAATTTCCCACTATTTGCTGTGTGGCCACATTTTGACTCACTGCTCCCCCCGATTCCCCCTGCGTCTTCTTGATCCTAAAAAATAAGGGGGGGGGATCGGGGGGAGATGCAGGTCAAAATGCGGCTGCACAGCAAATAGTGGGGAATTGAGCAGTACAACCGGGGGAATTGGGAGATCAATGGCGCAACAACTACCTTTGCGGAATCAGTCATAGTTGCAATTATGGAAGAAGCCATAGCTGCAGAGCCTATACCTGAAATGTATTTATTAAGATATTTATAGCCTGCTTTTTTCTTCAGTGGGGACCTCAATTACCTTATAGTGTCATTAGCCCCTCCGTTTTGTCATCCACACAACAACCATGCTATGAAGTAGGTTAGGCTGAGAGAGAGAAACTGTCCCAAGGTCACCCAGCAAGATTCTAGGGCAAAGTGAGAAGTCTAGCCTGAGTTTCCCTGACCGTACTCTGACACTCGAACTACTGTACCATGCTGTACTGATGTTCTAAAAGCCCTGTGCAGACTGGGGCAATCCTGTGTAAACAGGCAGCACATCCAAAGTGTTATAGCCATCTTCAGGTGGAGAAGTATTTCATTGTTGTGAAAATGTCAGGGAGGTTACACAATATTGGTCCAAAACAGAAAGGGTTACAATTCAA